ACGACACACACACACACACACACACACACACACACACACACACACACACACACACACACACACACACACACACACACACACACACACACATGTATAGGGCTCACTTGCACCGCCAGGTGCATGCGATCACCTGACGTGCCCGCTCACCGAGCGCAAGACACAAAACCAACAGTGCCTATGGAAGGGACAATGGGGGGGGGGGCGGAAGGTATGCAGTTCTGCCTCACAGGACGGTGGATGGCGGGTTCAAGCGACCTTTGCTCCTGAGCTTCGCCTGCAGTGCATCAGCCAGGGACACGGGCTTGTTTGCGTCGCAGTGTGCCGGCTGCTGCTGCTGCGGCGGTTGCTGTTGCAGGGGCGGTTTCAGGTTGCTGGGTGGAGGAGGTGGTGGTGGTGCACCTGTCGACGGTGTTACTGGTGGCGCCGCAGACTGGGAAGGCGGCGGTGGCGGTGGCGGCGGCGGTGGCGGGGCTGGTGCAGTGCCTGTGGTCGTAGGTGTCGATTGTGGCGGTGGCGGTGGCGGTGGTGAGGAAGCGCTTGTGTTAGCTGCCGTCGGTGGCAGAGGAGGAGGAGGCGGCGGCGGTGGCGGGGCTGGTGCAGTGCCTGTGGTACTCGTAGGTGTCGATTGTGGAGGCGGTGGCGGTGGCGGTGGTGGCGCCATGGTCGTTGATGATGGCAGAGGAGGAGGAGGCGGCGGCGGTGGCGGAACACCGCTCGTGGTGCTGGTGCTAAGCTGTGGAGGTGGTGGCGGCGGCGGCGGCGGAGGTGGTGGTGATATGGTCGTCGATGGTTGCGATGAGGGCGAAGGCATCCGAAGCTTGCTTGCCAAGACAGCCGACGCAGCCGTTATGCCCTGTGTCTTGGCAGCAGCGGTTGCGGCCGCCATTGCGAGCGGCGACGGTGCAGATACGACCCCGCTGCCTGCCCTGGACGACATGGCCGGGGGTGTGCGGGCGCCGGAGGGGGCGTGCTCCTCTCGCTGCAGAGGAGAGCTGCGGGCACGATGGTGCGGTGCAGTGGTTGATGTTGAAGACGAGGATGGAAGAGGTGGCGGTGGCGGCGGCGGTGGTGGCGCCCTTGACGATGCTGGCGGTGTGGGCGCTGATGGTGTTGACGATGAGACTGCTGATTGTGATGATGGCGGTGGCGGTGGCGGTGGTGGCGGTGGAACCATTGTTGGTACAGTGGGTGCTGGGGGTGGCGGGGGTGGCGGTGGTGGTGCTGGGGTTGAGGCTCCTGAAACCAATCCCAGGCCAGAATCCGCACGCCCTTTGTCTGCGACAGCTGTAGCGGCGGTATCTCGTGCCAGGAGGAGTGGTACGGGTGGTGGTGCCGGCCGCTGCGCAGAGACATCAATGCTGACGCGCTTCGCACGTGGAGTGGTCTCCGCCATCATGTCCTCCTCATCCTCTTCGTCGTCGTTGTTGTCGTCAATATCATCAGTGCTGCTGGTGCGCCCCGTCATGCCGCGGAGTGTGGCGGCCGCTTGCTGCTGCTGCTGCGGTTGATGATGGGCTTGCAGGGATGTTGTTGGTGTTGTTGGTGTTGGCGGTGCCGATGTGACGGAGATGGAGGGTGTTGATCGCGCCGCTGCTGCCCCAGCTCGAAGGCGGCTCAGCACGTCCATCTGTGCAGCACGCGTGGGTGCCTGGCGCTGCGGGCTGGCAAGGAGGGCGCCCAGGCCCTCTGGTGCGCGCACCTTGTGGCCACTGGGCGACACCTCTGCGGTTGCGCGTCGACTGGCAGCACCAGAGGAGGACGCGGATGGCGGCGAGCGAGATGGCTCCGTGTCCGTGCTGCCCTCCAGCCGCTTGATGAGCAGGGCGCGGTTTGCCTTGAACTTGCCTGATCCAAGGTTGCGGATAGATGCGCCGAGTGCAGGCGTTGGCTTCTTCTTGTGCTGCCCACCCGCGCCCCCGTTCGCCTCCTCCTCCTCCTCCTCCGCAATGGGGCGGGGTGGCCAGATGGCCTTGATTGGGCGCGATGCGCACCGCACGCTCTGCCGCACGTTGACAAGGGTCACCTTGGAGCGACGCTTGGAGTGGTGCAGGCGCCCGCGCTTCGAGGAGCCACGCTTGTGGCGAGACATCTTCGACGTGAGGTCGGACGACTGCGATGGCGTGCGCGCGGACGTAGCCAGCTTCTGGGTGAGAAGCGACAAGTTGCTGCCGTTGCTGATGAGACGGGCGCCATTGCCACTATCACCGTCGTCCACATGAAGAGAGATGCAGCTACCGCGTGGCGTGAACACCGTGGTTCCCTCCTCGCCCACGCGTGCGTTTGCCTCTGCCGCTTTCTTCTTCCGCTCTTCCGCTGTTGTGTCGTGTTGTGTTGTGTTGTGTTGTGTTGGCGTTGTACGAGTGTTGGGTGGGTGAGGGGGGGGGGTGGAGAGCAAAGGAGAGACGGTCAGTGGGGTATCAAGTGGGAGGTGAAGCTTCTAGCACACCATCCTCAAATACAACAGCTAGCAACACACACACACACACACACACACACACACACACACACACACACAGAGCGCACAAGTGCGTGCTGTGTACCTTGTTCGCGAAGCGCAGGCAGTTTGCGACGCGACAAAAAGCCACGCACACATGCTTGCAAGTGTGCTGCATGTTTGTTCATAACACCAAGCTTGGCTGCGAGCTCATCGGAGTGGTGATACCGCAAGAAGACCTAAACACAAGAGACAATGGCCACACGCGTGAATCGGTGGTGAGAACGCGGGGAGCTGGGATCTTAAACCCCAACAAGGATGACTGACAGGCAGGGAGAGAAGAGTGCAGAAAGACACACACTCACTTGAGGGAGTGCACAAGCGCACCATCTCACCTTGGTGTTGCCCATGGCCCAGTCCTTGAGGTTCGCCCTCTGCAACAACGACTGACACGCTGTTTTGTAGCACTTGACGTCTTCTCCGTCTGTGGCTGACCCATCCAGCGCCTGTGCACACGAGTGTGTTTGTGGGTGTGCGCGTGCGTGCGTGCGTGTGTGTGTGCGTGTGTGCGTGCGTGCGTCACAGTCAGTGTCGAGGGACATCGCATATGCAGGGTAAAGCAGAGCAGCTCCGCTCAATTCACATGCGTCCGTCCACACGTGGCATGCTGACCTTGTACATGTTGAAGAAGGTCTTGAATGGCAAGCGAACAGGATAGCCGCACTGGCGGATGCTGGTCGTCTCCATCACACCTGTTTGAAAACACCAGCAGCGATGCGTATGAGGTTGAGTGATAGCCCAACAGCGAAACACGCGCTGTCCAATAAGCGGCGCACACACACGCACACACACAACCACACGCACGCACGCACGCACACACAACCGCACGCACACACAACCACACGCCCGCACGCACGCACGCATGCTACGCTACACTACACTACACTACACACACACACACACAACACACCTGTGTAGGTGAGTTGCTCTCGAACAGCTTTGGCGTCGAAGAAGCCTGCCTTCTTCTCGCGGTTTGGTTTGATGCAGCGAATAAAGTATGGCACCCGCGCATTCAGCTTCGTCATTAGCACCTGAGTGAGGACCCAAAGCAGTGGTGTCGCTCATTAGTGTGGAATGGGCATGCCCGAACAACCTCTGTGCTGAAGACATGTTGCACGCACCCATATACACATGCGCTTTGTGTGTACGTTCGTATAGCATCAACCATGTACATGGATACACCTACACCCACACTCACCCACGCACACACACACACACGCGCACATACACACACCTTCGCACATACACACACCTACGCGCACACACCCAGATCGTTGTACTCACCGCCAGAGATTGGCGAAAGACAGCAGCCACCGTTGGCGCCATGCGTGATTGCACGCGCTTCAGGCTGGCTTTCTTGCTCTTGCGAGACTTGCCACGTCGCGAAAAGAGGTTGCGCGCAAAGCTAAGCGCCTTCATGCCGCTTGACTTGTGGTCGTGGCTCCCGCGCCGGCTCTTGTGCTTGCGACTGAAACGGCTGCCAATCGCCACAGTTGGCAAATGAAGCAAGGAGAGTGTGGTGTGAGCGCACGCTTTGATGTCCGTGTCCATCACGCACACGAGCGAGCTGTCAACACAAGCGCGTACTCTGCAATGAGTAGACTCACGCTTTGCTCTTGTGCTTGAAGTTGGCCCGCGTAGGAGAAATGTGCGATGCGCCACCAGCACCACGAGAGCTGGTTCCAGCGCCCTGATGTCGTGTGTGTGGTGTGGTGTGGTGTGGTGTGGTGTGGTGTGTATGTGTGTGTGTGTGTGTGTGCGTGTGCATGTGTGCGCGTGTGTGTCAGAGGGCATCCTTGCACCGTGAGCGGTTGGTGCGCTGCGGACAAGAGTTGCAATAGAGAACTGGGCAGGCTTGCAGCGTCGGCAATGTGCGCAGGTGGAGGAAGCCACCAACTGACCTTGAAGAATGAGCGAATGAGGGCGAGCGAACTCTCGCCCATCACATCCTGTGCTGAATCAGGCAGGCTGTCGCGGTTGCGTTCAAGAAAGCCTGCGGCAGATGAGGAATGGCAGGTCGTGGCATGGTGGTGCGATGAGCACTGGTGCATGTGCTGTGGCATGATCGCAAAAGCACACGAAACAGCAAGCACTCGCAATCAAACCATATGTGTTATGCCATGCCATAATAGCATAACACTGTCATGGAGTCGGGTGTTGCTGCTGCTATTGTTATCGGTGTAGGACCAGGATTGCTGGCTTGCGTGTGTATGTGTGTGTGTGCGTGTACTGTACCATGACTGTTGTACGTGATGCTGCCCGCGTAGTGTGCGATTGTGAAGCATTCAGGGTTCTTCTTTGCTGGTGAATACAACGGGTGGTCCTTGAAGTGGCTGTCAAACTTGTTCTGCGCGCACGTGCGCGTGTGTGTTTGAAAGGCCAAAGATTTTGGTGAGGGAAATGTTGAGGTCAAGAAACGGCAATCGTATCCGCATGACGTCACAGACGCCATAATATGTTATCCTTACACACGGCTTCATTCTCAATCGCGTTCACAGCACATCATCACTCACGCGAACCTTGACAGAGGCAGCGGTGGAACGCGCAAAGCGGGAAGCTTCATCGAGGAGGAGGAGAAGGCCAACAGGCTTCTTGAGAAACAAATCCACCTGCTGCGTGTTGTCGTTATACTTGATGACAGCACCCTTGACGCCCTCCTTGTCGTACTCGTCCAATTCCATCTGCGGTGCATAGGGAGCAGCAGTGTGGAAGCATATACGGTGACCGTGATACATATGCATTGAGCAAATGGCGAGAACAAGATGGGAGGATGGGAGGATGGGAGGGCAGTGGCTGTTAGGGCATCACGCAAACCACGTGTTGTTGTCAAAACCCATCATGAGATGAACGCGGAGCAAGTCAGACCACCAGAGACTACGCGACACAGATGCATGCAAGCAAAGACAGACCTCCACCCAGTCCAGTCAGGCAGTACCTTGAAGATGTGGGAGTTGAAGAAGTTCTGCAGCTGTTCGTTCGCGACGTTGATGCAAAGCTGCTCAAACCTGAGCAACCCCAACGGAGAGCGCAGAATAATAGCCCCCAATACAAGACAGCAGCAATCGCGGTGAGAGGAAAGTCATAGGAACCGAAACGAAAGGAAACGAGGTGGCTGCTGTAATGGTGCAACACAACAGCTCTGACGTGTGCATGTCGCAGTGGTTGGAGCAATGAGGTGCAAGTGTGCGGGTTTTCGTACCCGTTCACGGCGAAGCTTTCGAAACCAAAGATGTCAAGCACACCGATGCTGCACGTATCTTTGCTGTTTTGGTTTAGACAGAAAATGTGTGTAAGCCAACGCATGCGTGTGCAATTATGTGCACGTGGGCGTGGATGAGTGGATGTGTGTGGAAGATATGAATGCTAACAGCAACAGAAATAGCCGTGATTCGTGATTAGGGTGCTCGTCATGAAAGCAAGAGAGCTTGTGTGCGATCAAAGAACTGAGCACCAAGCCACCTGACGAAACATAGAGAAACAGGTAAACACACTTACTCTGCTGCTCGTGTGTGCAGGAGTTGGTTTGACCGCTTGACGAGGTACTCAAACAGGGAGTCATAGAGCGCGCGGGCGATGGCGTCGCGAATATCAAACGCTTCCACCATGCCTGCAAGCAGATTAGAATCGTATCCATAAGGCATATGTGAGCGATGTATGGAGTTGTGCATGACGTTGCAAGGGTTGGGTTCAACTTGCCTGGCCGTACACGAGACACACACACACACACACACGCACGCACACAAACACATACACACACGCACGCACGCATTGTAACGACATATCAGCTCTTTCACATACTCTTTGGCTTTGTGAATGTTTCGCCGGCGGTGGTGAAGGACGTGGTGACGATGGTCTCGTGCAAGTCATCCTATGTGCATGCAAGCATGCAGACAAACGTGGTGGTGAATTTCATCAGGAGCAATGAATTGTAAACAGGGGCACAACAAGAATATGAAGTGAAGCAACTCACCGCAGAGATTCCGAGCACATCTGCAACGGCTTCGAGGCATTCCGGGTTTGCAGGATCAAGGATGTGGCCGTCAAAAGCATCAGCGTCCTCGCCAGACCCTGTCAGTGGTGCAGTGGTCGGGAATATGTGTGTTGTAGATGGTGTTGAGTGAGTGATGTTTGTGGGCAATAGAGCCAAAGCGTTGGACAAGAAATTGTTTAGGGAATGTGGACGTGTGTGTGTGTGTGTGTGTGATGCAAGCAACAGTGCACATAAGACTGTGCTTAACTCTGACCAGCCAGTGACATGAAATTCACTACAAAACAGGACATTGTAAACTGCAGCATGCAGAGTTGACAATGTGAAAGTGCGAACCTTGGCTGGTGAACGTGAGGTTTCCGAGCTCGAGAACACCGGCGAGGATGCGTTGAATCTCCCAGCGCTCGGCGTCTGTGAGGCCAATTGCCTGCAGGCAATTCAGCACCTCGGCAAACTGGTCTGCACAGTTCTTCGCGCCGCTCTCTGACAGTACCGTGGCGGGCATCTGTTGCCACGCACGAAACAGTGTGTGTGCGCGCGTGCATGTGAAGGCGAGTGCGTGTGTGCCAATTGTAGGGAATGATCATGTGACTGGATGTGTAAGCTGGCGCAACAGTGGGTGTGCATCCGTGTGGATGCTGTGCAAGTGATTTCAGGGCATGGCACGTCACGTGCGACAGTCGCAGCCAAAGCCACGCAACTGCCCGTGACTGAGACAACAGGGTGTTGGGGAGAAGACTCGACATTTATCACACATCACGTTGGTCGTGTTTCAGCACCCAGCATCTGCGCAGCGCATGTGCTCAACACAACTCACGTCACCCTTGGAGGCTGCTGCCAAGTTGCCGCCTTTCCTGGCGCTGGCCGAGCGCTTTGGGTTGAGATAGTTGTACTCGTGAGCTGGCTTCAGGTGGAGTTCGTCACGGCTGCAGTGATGGCGGCAGTGGTGACAGCATAAAGGTCAGTGGGAGGTGAGTGACGGTATGCCAATGCGTGTGAGTGTGAAGAGCATGTGGTACACGCAGGGACACACACAGGCACACACAGGCACAGACACACAGACACACAGACACACACAGACACACACACGCACACACACAGACACACACACAGACACACACACACGCACACACACACGCACACACACACACGACCGTGATCTAGAGAGATCACTACTCACCGCTCGTCAGAGACACCGGAGAGGAAGTAGTAGAAGACGTGGAAGTTGCTCTCGCCAGGGGCTTGTGTTGTCACACGAGACTTCTCAAGGAGGTACTTTGAGAGTTGGGCGCCAACAACAGGCATGGCTTGCAGGTTGTCCTCGTTGTCATACAGCACTGTGTTTGCAAGGTTGGGGAAGGTAGCATAGGGCAACAAGGAGTGGTTGCGGCCGTAAATATGCAAGGCGTAGAAGCGAGGCAATGGTCGCGAGTGTTGTAAGCCATTGTTTACGCATTCGCGTAGGATAGTAGGCATAGACATACACACACACACACGTACACACACACACACAGAGCACACACACACACACACACAGAGGGCACACACACACACACACACACACACACACACACACACCTTCGAGGAATTTGCCGAAGCGAGAGGAGTTGTCGTTGAGAACGGTGCGCGCGTTGCCAAATGCTTCAAAGATGGGGTTGAGCAGCAGAATCATCTCCTCAAGCTGGTTCGTGCCGTCTGTGGGGATGCGTACAATAGGCAGTGAGTCCTTTGTGTTTGGGTGGGTCACGTCCATGCTGCAGTGCAACTTGCTTGCAAGCATGGATTGACTTACTGCAACCACAAACCAGCAACATCAACACCCCCACAGCGAGCGGCATCAGCAATTACAATTACGCTACAACAACAGCAAGGTTGAGCTGCGAGCCATGGTGTCGTCGTCACCTTCACAGCGCAGAAGTTGGTTGAGAAAGTACTTGGTTGTCTCGGTTTTGCCGGCTCCACTTTCACCGCTGATGAGACAGCACTGCCCGCGCCGCGACACGTGCATGTTCTGTCGTTTGTGATTTGTGTGCGGATGTGTATGTGCGGATGTGTATGTGCGGATGTGTGTACATGCGTGTATGCGTGTATGCGTATGTGTGTATGTGTGTGTATGCGGGTATATGTGTGTGTGTGTGCGTGAGGAGGAAGCGGGAAGGCGAAGGAAACATGAGTTGCTGGCATGCAACTCAACTCTGACGACAATTTTGGAGACTGACATGTACTTCTGTGTACACTCCTGCCTCTCTCAATACTGTGTATGCTATTGTTGCCATTGGCATGGCATGTCACGTCACCTGATACACGCGGCGAGCAACATCGAAGATGTGTGGCTTTGAATCTGCAGACTCGTTCTGCACGCTGAACCTGTCGGTGTCGGAGCGTATTTCGCCACGCATTAGTTGTGTCGGGATGATGACATTTGTTGAAGGCAACAACTGCCAACACACACACATACACACACACATACACACACATACTCACACATACTCTCTCACACACATACTCACACACACACACACAACATACTCCAGCGCCATCAAGCAACGTAAGCCCAAAGCATGCATCACTCGCACACATGCACATGTCGTGGCGGTGCGGCCGCGCGAACAAGCGGAGAAGAAGAACAACAACAAGTGGAACAAGTGGGCAACGGACCGTTGTTGGTGGCTCTTGTTGTAGATGGCCAGTTGCTTCATGGGGTTGATGGCGAGCAAGATGTCGCCGACGTAGGTGTAAATCTCATCGTTCGTGTACCGTTCGCGCAAGGCGTCCATCTGTTCAGCCAGGAACAATTTAGTTACAACAACACCAGCGGGACAACCAATGACGATGAGCAACAACAACAACAACAACAGCAACAAACAGAAGCAGCCACGAGGACCGTAGTCAGCGACGAATGCAACAACCAAGTTGATGTGTGCGTGTGTGCGCATGTGTGCATGTGTGCGTTTTGTGCGTATGTGTGCATGTGTACGTGTACGTGATGGTTATTGTGCTGTGGGCGTGTGCAGAGAGCATGGCAAGATGGAAGCCACTCACGATGGTGTCTTCGGTGAGGTTGTTGAGGCTGACGAGGTTATCTGGCGCGCTTGCGTCGCCCTTGATCTCGAGGTAGTCCGCCATGGCTGTCCCTCTGGGTGGGTGGGTGGGCGGTTTGGCTTCTCGGTTGGTGACAAGAACTCTGATGCTGTGAGCGAGTAAGCTA